AGATGAAGTGAATTTACATCATATTGATATGTGGTCGTCAAACAGATTTAGGAGGTTCCTCTTAGGCGTTACGCCATCAGTTATGTGGGTATCGTACGGATGTGTTGCCATACAAGGTTGTCGTATGTTGGCAGAAAGTGTATTTCTCCGATCTATTATGTTGCAAGACGGTGTATTTACAAAATGATCAACATTGTTGAGTTTCCATAAAGTGGACCCACAAATGTGTCACAGGTGGAGGAAGAAGTTGTGGAAAAAAAAAAACCCTCCCAAAAAAAAGCCATCTAGAAATTAGTGATTGCGAGTGGCCTGTAATTTGGAGTGTGGGTTCAAGTCTCTTATTTTCTCACCGCGACTTGATGGGTCGCTCAAAGGCAAAGAGCGGGGTCTGATCCACCAAATGTCTTTTTTGGTGTACGTGCACGGCAGCCCCGCAGGCTAACGAACCGCCGCAGGACACCTGCCCAACAGACGCAACGCACGCATCCACAAGTGCGCTGCGAAAAGTAGCTCCCAGAACACAACATCATCCAAAGTCAACGGATCTCAAGTATTATGTTGGCACAAAGTCAATTTCGATGACAACAACTCGGGTGTGAATTTAGATTCGATTGAATTTTGATCAAAAACTTGTCAGCGTGGCTTTACATTACAAAGACTTGAGTCTGAGTGAATTTAGCTGAGAAAAACTCACTGAGCACACGTGAAACTAAAGACGTGCAAGCTCAAATGTTGATAACAAAAGGCTGCGTGTGAATTTAGATGGGATCGAATTTCGATATCAAGGCGCAAATGTACATTTGCATCAAAACGAGGCTTCATTTCGATAGAAGCTTGTCGCCACAAATGTAAACTTTGCGTCACAAATTTGGACAACTCGTGATGGTGAAAAAAATGTAAAAATTAAAATAACAAACCGGAATTAAAAAAATTTTGACTCTATTAAATTTAGACAGATGCAAGTCATTTTAGTACATAAAATGGAGTGCGCGTAGAAAATAAAGACAGCATTGTGAATTTTGATCAGAAACTTGAATTTAGATCGCCAACATTTCCATCGCAAAAGCGTTTAAGTCATGTTGCTTGTTTTTTTGTATACGCAAATTCAAAGGAGCTCATTCGAATAGTTGGATGCAAAAATAAGTGTGAAAGTATTTATGTGTGCGCTACGTGTGGAGTGCAGATAAAAACGTTTGGCAACCGAAAGTGCAACGAGCAGCGAGGTCCTTTTGAAACATCCTTTTTTTTTTTTTTTTTTTTTTTCGGTCCGCATTGTAACTGCACGCTGCCAAGACATCTGTCTACTGACACACCCTGTAATTACCAATGCCCGGATAAAAATACCCTCCCATTATTTCCACTCTCCCGGCGCACAGGCGGAATACTTTGGTTGGTCAGTCAAATACTTTTATTTATTTATTTATGTATTTATTTTGGCCCACAAGCGAAACAATGCAAACTCATTCTGCATTTGTTTGTAGATGTAGAAAATAAATGTGCTTCTGCATTTGTATGGAGGCTAACATAACATTGCGTTGACAAAAGACTCACTCTGGATTTGATGACGCTTGTGTTAGCCTGAGAGAGCCAGGCTCCGCGCGGGCGAGGTTAGATCACAAAAAATGTAGAGAACGAAAACCCGTGAGCGTGAATTTAGATAAGACAGCATTCGAAAAATGATTTGTGAATGGCATTTTAGATAAAAAGGTGTTAATTTAAATGCCCAGGTTTATATAACAAAGAGCGCATTTCGATAACAAACGCGTAAATTCACCCCGGGAACTCAAATTTTAGTTTGCAAAAAGTTGTGAATTTAGATGGCAGACTCGTGAACATGATTTCAATCATTTCCATTTAAATAACAAGTTGAAGTTAAATAACAGATTTGTGAGCGTAATTTTACATGAAAACATGTTGATTTAGATGCCCGGGTTTAGACAACAAAAAGTGAATTTCGATCACAAAATTTGTAATAAATTCAGATTGCAAAAACTTTTGAGCTCAAATTTAGACAGCGAAATGTTGTGGATTCAATTGGCAGACTTTTGTGCATGATTTTGAATAAAAATATATTCATTTCAAAGCTTAAGTGTAGGTAACAAATACTTGTGCCCACAAATTTAGCCAACAAAAACACAATCGTAAATTATATATGATATTACTCTACCTGTGACCATTCATTTCGATGGAATATGATTGTGAATTTATTTTATCCACATTTGTGTTTCGTTTTTATCTCAATTGCAAATCTTTTTTTTTTTAAATCCTTTTTTAACCATAATGTCCAACTTTTTGTGATGTATTGTCCCCCTCACAAGTCAATAGTGTTGGATTTCTGTGTTTGTTAGCGCATGTTTGCCTTCTGTCTCTGGGGTTTACGTAACCTTCATCTTGAAGGTCACGGACCCTGTGGCGTGTAAGACGAGCGGCCATCTTGTATTGGGTGTCACAAAGAGCGAGAAGTCCACCTGGGACCTTCGCCTTGGCGGGGGCTGGGCAGGTTGTGAGGTCACTGCACCTGTTTGAGTTAATTGCTGCCAGGTGACGTCAGGCGCGTTGCCGTGGTAACGGGAGGGAGTCAAAAACAACAACCCGACCCTGTTGTTATGTTTTGCAGCCAAAGGCAAAATAATCCCTAATTTGGATCAGCACCTAAATGTACAGTTTTTTTTTTGTAAGGTTGAATGGCGAACGAAAACTCTAGAGACTCTCGAGCGTGAATTTATATCACAAATATGACAGACATTTGAGCAAGAATTGACACAAAAACGTCTGATTGTGACTTTCAAAAACAAAAGCATGAGCACAAATTGAGATTAAAAGCTTGTGAGTGAAATACACCCTTAAATGGTCCGCAAAACATCTCACATCCCCCAAAGCATTCCCAATCCTCGAGTTTTTATTAATGGATTGATGTTATTCCATTTTTTTTGTGGGAGTGGGCCTCGCCGACGCGAGCCGTCAAACGCGTCTGCCGCCGCGCTTGCCGGCCAGCAGACCTTTAAAGCAGATGCTATGAGTGAAGCGTAAGGCCCCCACGTGCAGACAGACGGATGCACGCACGCACGCACGCACGCCGGCCAGTCATTCCCGTCTTGAAAAGTCATCACACGCGACGACGGCGAAGGATGTGAGTGTGTGCCGTCCCGGCGGACTCCACAAAACATGCAACGCATGCAAGACTCCAAAACAGTAATCAAGTCATTTTGTTAATGTTGTTCTTTGAACCCCTATCTTGATCCACTAAGCTTGTCTTGAATCTGTGACTTGATACCCTAATTGTGACTCGAACCCCTACTTTGAAACCCAACGCTAATTTGAAACACCAATTTTCTGGGTGAATTTTCTGCGCAATGTGCAAAAACTGCACCGAGCAATTCGGAAAAGAGTGGCCTGTAATAAATGGAGTTAGCCCACTCTAGTTCTGATTGGCTCATTTAGAAACCCTTACCCTTGTTTGAAACATGAATCCAGGTTTAAAATACTCATTTCGAACCCTGACTTGAAAAGCAAACCGTTGTTTGAAACCCTAATTTGAGCTCCTGGGTACCAGAATGGGCTAACTTGATTTTTCGCATTTCACAAGATAGTGTTAAAACAGCGCCGATTGGCACAATGCATCAATGGACCAGCAAAAACTGAGTGAGCCCGCTCTAGTTGGCAGTGGTTAAATTAGAAACCCTGATCGTTGTTTGAAGCATTAACTTCAAATCGTATCCCTCGGAAACACAAATCGAGCCACTGAGAAGTAGAGTGGGCTAACTCCTAAAAGTGAGGCCTCCAAGAACAGACGACCAAAAACGGAATCAGCCTACCGTCGGCGTCTCAATTAGAACAGCTGACCCTTGTTTGAAACCTTAACTTGAAACCCTATCCCCCTGTGAGTAGCCCTAATTTGAAAGACAAATTGAACCACTTAAAACCTGACCCCTTGTTTTCAACGCCACCAGGGACTTGAAAGCCTTGACTCGAAACCCAAACGTGAAAGCCTCAACGTGGTTTGAAACTCTGACCCCTTCCTTGAAAGACTCATCTCCAACCCTATTTCCGATTTTGAAATCCTCGGAACCCTAACCGGAAGCCTGTCGCGTGATGGCGGTCGGGGGCTGATGGTCGCATCGCTAAATGCTGATTGGGGACTTTCGTGGGGAATCTGCGTCCAGCCGCGGCCTTTTTGTCAGGCGTGAGCGCCGGTCTGGTTGCGGGTGGGCGTGTTGGAAGGAAGCCAAGCATCTTTTCCCAGCCGCCTCCTTCAGGTTGTTCCATCGTGGGCAGGTTCCTGCGCCCTTCCCCGCACGGCTCGTTAGCCACCTGCGCACTTGGTCCCAAGTCTTTGCTCCCTTTTGTCTTTTTTTTTTTTTCCTCCATCTTGATTTTTGTCCACCTGTTCTTTCTTCTTTTTTGCTCTTTCTTTTTCTGTCTGCCTTATTTTTCTCCATATTTCTTTTTCACATTGACTTATCTTTTCCTGTTTTTTTTTCCTTCTTTCCTTCCCTTCTTTTTGATCTCTTTTTCCCTTCTTTTTTCCCCCTTTCTTGCTTTTCTTCTCCTGTCCTCTTTTTTTGCTCTCTTACTTTTCCCATCTTCATTCCCCTTTTCATTTTTCGTCTTCTGTCTTTCCTTTCTTTTTCATCCTTTTTTTTCTCCTGTCTATCACATTTCTTTTTGCTTTTTTTTATTTTTCTCTTTCGGTTTTTTTTTTACTTCTATTTTCATTTCTTTTTCTTTTCCTATTTTTTTTCTATTTTTCTGTCCTTACTTTTGTCATTGTTCTTTTGATGTTCCCCATCTTCATTTTCCTTTTCATTCTTTCTTCCTTTTCTTCCTTAGTTTCGCCCATCCTTTTTTTCTGGTTCCCGTTATCTTCTCCCATCTTTCTTCTGCTTGGCTTTTCTTCTCCCGTCCTCCTTTTTTCATGTCTTGAATCATCCTTTTGTCATTTTTTTTCCCCCTCGTCCCATCTTCCGCTTCTTACCTTGCGTTGCCGTGCGTGTCCGCAGTCGCTGATCTTCATCCGAGACGTCAACGCTGCGGGGCAGGAAGTGTCTGGCTATATCGACTACGCCCACAGACTGCAGATGCAGGACTTTGCGCCGTATTTCAGCGGCAGAAAGAAGCTGGTGCCAGGACCCCGGGATTTATGGTGAGTCCTGCTCGGACGAGGGGTCCGCAGGGGCCGGTGGGTGGCGAGCCGACTTTGAAGGGAAGGAAGGAAATCTTATTAGTGGACATTGAATGCGAGGAGGGAGCAGACGCAGCTCCAGCTACGAGGCCGAGGCGCTCAGCGCTCGGAAAAATGCGAGAGAGGAGTGCACAGTTCCGAATAATTTCAGCCGCTCTTTCGCCATATATAAAGCCAATTATTTACGAGGCATTCTTGACACCCTACTTTTAAAGCCGACTTTCAAACCCTTCTCTTGAAATTGAAATGTTTGTTGAATCTCCAGTCGTGGAATGTTCAAACCTTCAAAGTGGTTTGAACTCCTAATTTGAAAGCCTTCTCCTGCCCCGCAAGCACATTTCAAAGCCTACCCCTTGTTTGAAACCCAAGAACTGTTTGAAGACCCGAATTTGAAAGCGTTCTTTGAGTAGCCAATGCTGTCTTGACTTTTCCATGAACCCAAAACACAGATTTGAAATACTTCGATGAAACCGCGCAAACTGGCCTTGAAATAAGAATTTCTGACTTGAACTTAAAAGCCTCAAACTAATTTGAAATCCTACTTTGAAAGCCGAACGCCGGCTCAACTCAAACCCTTGTTTTGAAAACCTTGCCTTACAACCTGGAACCTGGGGAAGAAAAAATAATTATGGAAACCCTCATTTAAAATCCCAACCATGTCTCGAAACCCTAATTGGAAACTGAAACCATAAATCTGAAAGTCAAATTTGAAATGAACACCGCTGCAAAACCCTCAACCTGTCTTGAAACCAAAAATTTGAAACCCTAACTCTTTGAAGGCCTTACCCTGGTTTGAAACTGTAATTTCAACCCGATCTAAGGTTTCAAATTCTAACCGTGGCTTGAAACACGAACCTAAAAATAACCCAAATCCTGTCCTGGAACCACATTTTCAACGCTAACCTTTATGTGAAAGCCAAACACTGCTTTGAAATCTTAATTGGAATCTCTCACCTCGTCTTGAAACTCTACTTTGAAATCCTTAACCTGCCTTGAAACCTGAAATTGAAATCCTTATTTGGAACCCTACCACTAGCCTCTTGACCCAAACTTGAGACCTTCACCTTGACTTGAAACCCAAACCTTAAATGGTTGCCTTGTGCGAAACCATAACGCGCCCTTGAAACCCTACTCCGAAACTCAAATCTCGCGTGTGAATGTGTACACATTCTTTTAATGGAGTCCCACGCGAGTTCACGTCGAGTTCACGGTTGTTTGAAGCAGTAAAAGCGAAGGAGCGCTCGTGTCTCAGCGTGACGCCGTTACCTCATCGCCGCCGGTTGCTCTTTTCGTTTCAAGGAGCTAGCGGTGCGACGCGGCGCAGCGGCAGCTCGCTCGGTTGCACGGAGAGGTCACAACGTGGTCTGCTTCCAATTTGGGGCCGCGGCGCGGCGAGCATTAAAGCTAAGCTGCGGCTAATAAGCGCACGAAACCAAAGAAAGGCTCCCGCTGCTCAATAAATCCGCCTCCATTTTACGGCCCACGACTGGAAACCTGATAGGAGGGATGAACAATTAATCGAATTCCAATTGACATTTCAGTGGAGTAGAATGCAATTTGGAAAAAAAAACATTTTATAGATACTTAAGACACTTCCCCACCGAGCGGCGAACAATCGCGAGTGTCGCGTTCGCAAAGAAATAACCGGCTGCTCTCTGGCCTGCCGCCATCTTGTTTCATCACTGGACGCCAAAACTTGATTCATTTCAAGAAAACTTTACTAGTCTTCGGGGAACAATTGAGGGATGAAACATTTCTTCTGCCTCGCGTCCACTGTCGTTTGGACACACGTCATTGCTGAGTCACGATTTAGAGGCTCCTCCAGAGGTTCTGAAAATTCAGCCCCGGAAGCCGGTTTGACTCAGCAACATGACATTTGGAAGTCATGCCTATCCCAAGGAGAGCCACAAAAAAAGTCCGAAGAGGCCATTTTCGGAAAAGACATGGGAAGGGCGCCATTTTGGTTTGAAGTGACCCTTGAAGAGATTTCAGGAGAGGAGAAAAAAAATCCTCTTGGATTTTGGAAAATTCAGCCCCAGAAGTCAGCTTTTCTTTGTTCCATGAGATTTGGTCAGTACATCCACACAAAAAAGTCTCATGAAAAAATCCGGGGCAAGACACATAAAGTCTGCCATTTTAGTATGAAGCAAACATTCTCGTTTCTGATTCATAATTGTTATTTTTGGCAAGTTGAAGAGGTCACCCAAGAGAGTTTTTGGAAAATTTTGGGCCAATAGAAAATGACATTTGGTGGACACGTCTATAAGCAGACCCACCCAAAAAGTCACAGAAAGTCCCCCCCCCCTGTGTCTGTTAAAAGTTATTTCGCCAAAGACACACTCCTCAGAGAAAGTTTTGGAAAAGTTCACATTTGAAGCTTTTTTCACTTTGGAAATTTGGTAGGCATGGTTAGAAGACCAATGAAAAGTCTCCGAAAACGTGCCCAAAACCACACGAGAACTCTTTCAAAGAGCAACTCCTCCGAAAGAGTTTTTTGTAAATCCAGCCAGCCGGAAGCCAGTTTCAAGTGGGAGGATGAAATTTGGCTGGCATGGCTATCATGAATAGACCCACAAAAAAAAAAAAGTATCTGAAAGCCGTCCCTGAAAAGACACAGGAAGTCAGCCATTTTTGTCAGACGCAGCCATAATGCGTCATTTCCAGTGGCCCTGCGAAGACTTCGGTCCAATTTGCTACCAAATTATGAAATTATGATTTTGTGGGCGGAGCATGCCGGCGATGACTTGCCATAAATCGCAAAGCCCTAACAAGTCCACCCCACATGGTCAGCGCTTGACCAAAATTCCTCCGCCCAATGGAAATCCAAGAAGGCTCAAAGAAAATGTGAAAACACGGCCGGGAAGCAGAACGCTGACGCAGCAAACTGACGCATGAAATTATAAGCTAGTCGAGGTTGGCTGGCCCAGCGCACTCGCTCGGGTGGCTCGGGAATAGAATGCTTGCACTGCACTGGCCCAATTGTGGAATACTAATTAAGGTTTTTCCCCTTCAAGGAAAATTATATTGTCTGCGACGAGTCCGCGGACGCACGCACACTTGGACGCCGAGTCCGAATCTACGAAAATGTCACATTTCTTCGGGCGGACTACTTTTGTTCGACGGTCAACCGCTTCTGCCGTGCGAGGCATTTGGACGGATGGGGCGTTACCATGGCGACCACCGGAACGCTCCCGCAGCTGGGCAGCGCCACACCCGGTGGTAAAAAAAAAAAAAAAATGCGACGGGACCGTTTTGTTGGAAACAATGACACAGAGGATTCCTGAGCTCGATTGTTCCCAACACCTGCACATTTTCACCCTTTTTTTTTTTTTTTTTTTTTTTAGGCAGCGTGATCGATCAAGGTCAACTTTTGAACGGTGTCCAGTAATCGAATCATCGTTTGTGTAAGAAATACTCATATAAAGATGCATCAATTCATATTACCCGTGAAACTTTGTATGCTTGACATATGGACAATGCAAAATTACCCTCAAAATGTTGACTTTTGGTCACGGTGTGCAAACAGCGCACGGCCGTCACGTTTTGAAGACTCGCCTTCAAACACAAAACTCAGAAGCTCCTCCGCATGTGGAATATTTTCACCTCCTCTGCAAATATTTATCAATCCGGGGCCACAAAGTGGGCCGCAAATTCCCATTAATGCCGTGGCGCAACGCCGGAGTCCCGCGGGATCCGGCATCGCTTGCAAAGTTAATGCGAGAGGACAGCGGCGCAAATGTTTTCACAGCGCGGAATGAAGCCAGGCACGCAGGTGCACTGCAGCCATGTGCTGTTTGTCAGCGGCCAAATTTCACGCCAAGCAAGCGAGCTGCCTCC